GTGGTGCTGGTTATGGTTTTGGGGGTGGGTGTGGGGCGCACAATGAGATGAAAATCACCAGGCTTCCCAACAATTAGTTGGAAAAAAATTTTAGTTCATCCAGCACAGGATGTTGGGCAAACATTCTGTCAACTGAGTGACAGCTGAGAGGTGGAAAGCTAGAGTTGGGTCTTGGCAGTGTGGATGCAGAGTGTCAGAAGGGCAGCAGCAAGGGGGAATGTGAGCCAAATATGTGGAAATTGAAAGAAAAGAATATTCTCAGGCCACAATTCAATGGATGACAGTGGAAATGTAGAGGAAAATGGTGCAACACCATTTCAAAGACTTTAAAAGGGTCAAGAAGCAGAAGGACATAAATTACCTTTGCCAGTGACGCAGGTTGGTGTTTATGACTTCGACAAGAGTCACACTGCAGAGGGCACTGAAGCCTAGTGAGTGAAATTCAAACATGGGGTTGGAAGAAATGGATTTCACAGGTGACATCATATTCAAACACAAGAGGAAAGGCAGACAGACCCGTAGTTTGCAAGGAGAGATGGCCAAACTGGAAATAAATGACTTGGATCATTTACCTGACAAGTGGCAGTGTTTTAATTAAGCCCTAGGAAACTATTCCATATTGAAATTAGATTTGCATTCTTAAGTAAAACTACTAAAGTACAAACCTAATGACTATTAGATTAGGTTACCTGCATTACACAACTTTTCATTAAAATCATAGTCTGTTTGCAACTTTTTAAAAAACACCCTGACGACTTATTTGGTAAAGGCAACACCAGCGTTCAGTTGGGAGAATTGTAACATCAGATAGAACAGTATTAGTTTATATCATGCTGCAGACCTGAGCACCTGCTGTGGGCAAACACTCCATTGTGATATGGTTGGAAATACCATCAACTGCAGGAGACCCCAAACAAAGGGATTATCCTCAGTCAAGTGACATGATACAAGACGACATTCCCAAAATCTGAACTGCAAATCCTGATTAACTACCATGACCGAAAAATGGTCATTTATTTGCTGGTGGGACATTATAACTGAATGATTATGCATAAGGAGAGAGGAATGTGCAACAAGACCTGGGTGCCCTCATACACCAATTGCTGAAGACAAGCATGCAGGTCCACTTGGAGGTCAACATTTGCCTTCATATCAGACTATTCGAGTATGGGAGCAGGTTGTCTTGCTGCAATTAAAAAGGGTCTTGGTGAGACCACACCTGAAATGTTGCATGCAGTTTTGGTCTCCTTATTTGAGACAGGATAATCTTGCTATATGTGGTGAATCACTTAGGATTATATTCACTAGAGTTCAGAATGAGAGGGAGGATCTCAAACCTCAAATTCTAACAGGACTAGACAGGGTAGATGCAGGAAGTACGTTCCAATGACAGGAGAGCCCAGAACTCAGGGTCATAGTACAAGGATATCAGTAAAGCATTTAGGACTGAGATGGAAGAATTTCTTCAGAGTTCAGCGCCTGTAGAATTTGTTACCACAGAAAGCAGGTGAGGTTTAGGAGTTGGATATAGCTCTTAGGGTTAAAGGAATCAAAGGATATAGGGGAAAAGCAGAACAGGCTAATCAGTTGGATGATCAACCACCATAATGAATGGTACCAAATTAAATCCCAGTCTGAGATAACAAGGTGTAGAGCTGGATGAACACAGAAGGCCAAGCAGCATCAGAGGGGGAGAGAGATCCACTGAGGTCTTTCAAGAGGGAGGAGGGTAACTTCTTCAAGGTAGGCATACTATCTCTAAATCCCAGTCAGTACCTCTTTAGCTGAATCTAGTTAGAGGTTGGGTGTTACAATTCCTTCCACCCACCCTATGCAGCTTTCTGACTGTGATCATTGTTTTATGTCTTTTCTAGGAAGTGCAGCATGTGGACTTAAATGGCTCAGGATTAGTCCTTTTACAGCCAATGTATCCAGAGGGTCTGGCTGCTTGCCTATCAATGTACAAGAAAACAAGCACTTCAAAAAAACTTTGTTTAAAACTCTCCAGTTGCAAGGTTCCAAACCATCCATGAAACATAGTCAAATGTTCCAAAGAAACCCTGTATTCCTAAAGACCAACTGATTCAATGACTGGAATGAAAACTGCAAAAGCTTCACCCGCATGACTGATGGGCAGCACAGTAGAAGCTGTCTAGCGGCTTGTTTCAATGTGCTGAGACACCTGCCAATCAATGTGCATATCTTCTAAAAGGCCTGAGGTGAAGAGAATTGCTCTAGTAAAGTGCATAAAGTGCAATCAGAATGAGTAAGCAATCAGGACTGGAATATTATGAAAGCCATTAAATTAAAGAATCTATATAAAACATTAGAAAGATCTATACTGGCTGGTTTAAAGAGGTACTCAAGAAATTCTTGCACAAGAATTTAACATTCCATTCCATGTTTCAACCTCAGTTACATCGTTGAAGCAACAGCTGGTTCATGGACCAACAAACAAGGTTAATCACAGAGTTCAAACACATCATCCTCCTGATGTGTATGAAAATACATTATGTAACATATTAATATCTTTAATTATTGAATCTTCCAAAATTTAAATTTTCAGAAGACTGTCAGCAAAGTCGTAAGCACAGCTTTATTGCTACAATAGATTAAAAAAAGACATAGAAGGCTTGTTTATATCAGTTTTATTTATAGCAGAAATTTGTTTACCATACAATTGTCCTAGTTCTCTATTCCCCATCATCTCGCGCAGGTTATTCAGCCTACATCTGTGACAACTATTAACTGGAAACAGATTTGTAGTTTTAGAAACAGCAGACTGTCTGACAGTGTAAGGAAGGCCTGGATTTAGTTTGCCAGCGCCCTCAGGTTAGATTATTTCTGCTAGGAAAAAACTACCACTCATTCTGTTAAAAGATCTAAGTTTAAGCACATTTATAGGTAAAGACTTCCTTCAGCCCTGAATACTCAACGAAAATCATGTCTAAAGCATTACAATCTTATTAGTCTGGTCAGCATAATACACCAGGATGGGAAGAACTTAACTATTTAGAAACAGCTTCTGAAAGAAAAGGAATATCTTTGAAGAATCTTAAACCAATTCCATTGCCTGGCCATTGTACCACAAGTTATGGGAAACAGTGGCCTGCTTGATGGATGCATTTGGACTCTGCCTGTGCCACCCATGCAGTATAGTTAAGTCAGTAATGGCAAAGGGTATTGTGCATTTCTTCCAACACTGCACAATTAAGAAATACATGCAATTATTTTAATGAAACCAGACATAACTAAAAATTGAGAAAAACAATGAAACCCCACATCCCCCCATCAGTATGAATATTTGAAAAGAGCTCCACGAACTGACAATCAGTTTTAAGATGTCAAATCCAACCATCGTCCAAAGATTTTCACTCAAAATTAATTTACAAATCCAAGTGTCTCATGGCACTTATTAGAATCCCATCCATAATTGAAATTACAATATACCACGCAGTTACTGCAACTGTTTAAAACGTCACATCATAAATGCAGTAAATTACAGCAATCTAAAATTTTTCTACATTGTACTTGCAAACAAATAGACCCTCCCTCCAAAAAATAGTTGCCCATATAACAGACAAATCAGTCGGTAGATTCAAACTTATATTAGTAATTTCACAGTTAGCTTAAGGGAACTGATTTTAAAATGTCAAGAACATTTGTACATTTTTCCTCAATTATTAACAGAACTTTAACAGGTAACCATTTCAGATAAGCAAAATGATTCTTATTATGTGCGAGGGAGACAGTGAATAGCATCAAAAATAATATCCTAGACTTATAATAGCTTAAATTTAGCCTAATTTCTAAAAGGAATTTTATAACAGCTTATGAACCCACATCCAGGTTTGCAACTGCAGAACCCAGACTTTTCAATAGGTTGAAATTACCAAAATAAATAGCCCACAAAACCTTGAGATAAAAATCTGAGAGAAACTGATTGAGTCAAAGCGTGTAGTGACAAAAAACCCTCTGCAATGAGAAGCTGGGTTTGGGAAGGAATTCCTGGCCTCCACCCCGCCTCATTTCTCAGCATGTGTGCGCTAAGGGTGACCTGCAACTTCCGCCTAGGCAGAATGAGACAAGAATCGTCCTTAATGCCATTGTGTATAAGAATTAAACTATAAAAATTAAAACATTCCAATTCACATTTCCGATCAGAAATTCTATTTTACGTGAGACACAGACATGAATTAAAATGGTGGTCTGGCCCATTCTCTGGGCGCTAAACCTTCAGACGTAAATTCCACCGCATTCATTTTCTAAATTAAATCAGTGGGAAACCGGTAAGGAGGAGGAGGAGAAGGAGAAGAGACATACACCGCCATCCATTAACCCAAATCTCTCCTCTTGCCCAAGCATTGAGGAAGCAATTCAATGTCATTCTGCAAATCGGTACTTTTTCCTTGCTTCGGGGGAGGGGGGAAAACGAGGAAAGATTCAACCTTCAGAACCCGAGGCTGGGGGAAAACGTCGAGAGAAATTATATTGGAAAACGAGGGGTGAGGGGTGGGGGAAGATTTGAAAGGAGGGAGGGTTGGGAAGAGACGACTTTTACAGCGAATGTACCTCTCTCCATGATGGAGAAGGGAGGGGTCGGTGTGAATAAAAGACAGCTGGGATCTTGCCGTGCCTCCCGCTGGAGTAGGGTCAATGCCCTGCCCAGGCTGGAGAAAGGGGAAGGAGGGGGGGGGGGGGGGGGGGGGAAGGTGGTTTTTGGGGGTTTTTTTTAGATCCGGGATGGGGGTAGAGGGGGGAGGGGAGAGCGCGGGCACCGAGCGGCCGCTGGGCGCCATTTTGTGAAGCCGGCGGCCGGGAGAGACAGGGTGAGGAGAGGCTGGACGGGGGAAGGGGGGGGACAAACCCTACCATTCAAAACCCTACACCACAAAAACAAAACACGAAACCCTAAAACAGCTAAACCCCCCCCCCCAACCACCCCCCAAAAAAACCCACCACCGCCACCCAATCACCTCACAACAACGAACATCTCTCACCGTCGTAGCGCTCAGCCTGCTCGGCCAGCTTGGCTTGGTAGACGAGGTCTTCGCGGTCCTCCATGTTCTCCGGCGGAGGGGGTGGGGAAGGGAAGGTGGCTGAGGCGCTCGATGGACGGGAAGGAGGATGAGGATTACCTCCTTTTTTTAAAAAAAAGAAATCGCCGGCGGCTATAATTTAGAGGGGCTTCTTTCTTTCCGTTTAGGTTGCGGCGGGGGGAGGGGTGTGGCGGCGGTAGGCGATCGAAGGATGCAGAATTTCGGCAGGAAAAGAAATAACAGCGAGCTTATCTTTCTTGCCGATTCTTTTTTTCCTTCCCAGGCTTTAAAAGCCCGCAGACAAGAGGAGTGTGGTTCGGGGAGGGGGACTGGCAGAGAAGGCGAGGCGAAGTCGAGAGGCAGACACGGAGGGAGCGACCGCCGTCCTCAGGAAGCAGCCGAGCCGCTCACACACAAACCTTGCTCGCCCGCTCGCACCCGCCGCCGAGCAGCTGCCAAAATGGCGGACAGACAGGGTATAGTTCCGGGCTCCGCTATCCCAGCGCCTCCTTTCCCCCTCCCTCATTCACACACACTCTCTCACATTGCGCGCCGCCGGGTAGTGAAGCGGCGGCTGCACTACTTTCCTTCCGTCTTCCCTACTCCAAAGGCCTTCAGCCTGTCGGGTGGGGGCAGGGGTTGAGCGCATGCGCGGATGACGGCGGAAGGATACGCGCCCCTCCCCGGGTGGAATCATAGGGCGGTGAGAAAAGGCAACAAAGCCCGTAGTGCCGGGCACCGCGCCTTCGGGCGAGCGCTCCGCGCCGGTGAGGTGGCACAAGCGGAGCGCAGGCAAAAGTGTGGGCAAGGCCGCTGTGTCTGGCCGCGCTGTGGAAAGAGCGCCAGCTGCTATAAGAGAAAGGACAGTCTGGGCGTATGGAGAGCAGCATGCACACGTAGATGTATAACATTGCATGCAAAATTACACTTATATTTTCAAAAAAGCATATTGCTCAATGCATTCCACTCGAAGGAAAATATTTTCCATTAATTCATTTGTTGATGAATGTCTTCCGCTTTAAGGGAAAATAAAAAGGAATCGTTGCACACGGGGCATTCTGAAACCAAGTCGGACAGTCACCTCCAACTGTCAGGCCATCTCTACAGGAATTCCCAGTGTTCTAGCCGCTATAATGTTCAGCTGTTTGTTCCCTGACCTCGACTCCATCATAAGGTCAGAAGTGGGGATGATAGCCAATATTTGCACAATGTTCTGTACCATTCACAACTCCTCAAATACTGAAATAACAAGGTGTAGAGCTGGATGAACACAGCGGGCCAAGCGGCATCAGAGGAGCAGGAAAGCTGACTTTTCCCTAACCCTAACCCTCCTCAAATACTGAACTGGGTTGTCCAAATGCAGCAAGATCTGGACAAGTATCCAGATTTGGACTGACAAGTGGCAAGCAAATAAGTGGCAAGGCGATCCAAATGCCAGGCAATTACCATGTCCAACACCTGAAGAAGGACTGACACTCTAAAAGCTTGTGTCTTCCAATAAATCTGTTGGACTACAACCTGGTGTCAAAAACAAAGTTGCTGGAAAAGCTCAGCAGGTCTGGCAGCATCTGTGAAGATAAAAATTAGAGTTAATGTTTCAGGTCCAGTGACCCTTCCTCAGAACTCAACCTGGTGTCGTGTGATTTCTGACCATTTCCAAGGAGAAAATCTCATCATTGCCCCTTGACATTCAATGTAATTAACATTGATGAATCTCCTTCTACCATTGAATTCTGATGATTGGGTGATGCAGATAAACTCTCTGCTCTATCAGAGGATCCCAAGAGAAGGAGATGTGACCTTAAAATTGGAGGCAGGCAGTTTATGAGTGAAATCAGAAAAACATTTCATAAAGAGTAGTAGAAAAAGTTATGGACACTAAGCCAATTTGAAGTGTTTTTAAAAACCAGAAGAACTGCAGATGCTGTAAATCAGAAACAAAAATAGTGATTGCTGGAAAAGCTCAGCAGTTCCGGCAGCGTCTGGGGAGAGAAATCAGAGTTAATGTTTCGGGTCGAGTGACCCTTCCTCAGAACTCCTCTCAGAAGGGTCACTTGACCCAAAACATTAACTCTGATTTCTCTGTTTTTGATGTTTTACAAGCCTGAGCTTGATTGATACATTTTTAAGGTCATTACAGGATTTGGACATGCTGGTGTTGAACTGGGGTGGACAAAATTAGAAGTCACATGACACCAGGTTATAGTCTAACAAGTTTATTTGAAATCACAAGCTTTCGGAAGGGGCTACAATCACACAATTTGGAATTGGAGTACAAATAATTCGTAACCTAATGAATGGTGAACAAGGCTTGAGGGCTGATTGATCAACTCCTATGTTACAGAAACAATTGGGCTTTTCAGAACTCATATCCATACAACACAAGAGTTATCTAACCAGACAAAACTCTATTTTTACAGCTCAAAGTAGTTACCTGTTTGCACTTTAAAATTAGCTATTAAAATTATTTTTAAAGTTTGTTTCTGCAATGCATAAACTGGACATTGTCAAACAATAAAAAAGAAAATCTCTTCAAATTAGGCTGAAAACACCTTTCTAAAACATTTGAAATTGTGGCTTGAAAGAAGATGTACTTTCCTAAGTTTCATTCAGCCAGGTTCTGATGTCTCTAAATTTAAACGGGGTGGTTCATTAGATGCAGGTACAGTTACAACATTTGAGAGACATTTGGACTGGTATGTTAATAGGAAACGTTTAGAGAGATATGGGTCAAATGCAGGCAAGTGAGGCTAGTTTAGGGGAAACTTTATCAGTATGAATGAGTTGGACCAAGGAGTCTGTTTCCGTGCTGTATGACTCTATGACTTACATTGTAAAAGGAGGCTGTTTGGCCTTTCCTGTCTGCACCAGCTCTCCAAATCAGCACTGCACACAGTGTTATTATCCTACATACTCTCTGTATCCCTGCACGTTCTTCCTTTTCCAAATGTCAGCGTGCCTCAATTTAAACTTCCTTGACCACACTCAGGCAGTGTATTCCAGACCTTTACACTCACTGCATGAAAATGTTTTTTTCTCATATCACAATTACTTATTTTACCAATGTAAAATCAACTTCCTGGAATTAAGAACAAAAACAAAGTTGCTGGAAAAGCTCAGCAGGTCTGGCAGCATCTGTGAAGGGAAAAAACAGTTAACGTTTCGGGTCTGGTGACCCTTCCTCAGAACTCAATCCTGGGATTAACATGGACCAGAAACTGAACTGGCCCAGTTATAAAAATACTGAGCTGATAATTCTGGATGAGTAACTCACCTGACTCCCGAAAGCCTGTCCAACATCTACAAGGCACAAGTCAGGAGTGTGAAGGAATACCTCCCATTTGTCTGGGTGAATGCAGTTCCAACAGCACTCAAGAAGCTTAACATATCCAGAACGAAGCAGCCCACTTGATTGGCATCACATCCACCAAATTCACCAATTCACTCCCTCCGCCACCAATACACAGTGACAGTACTATGTACTATCTACAACATGTGCTGCAGTTAGTACCAAAGCTCCTTCGACAACAGTTTCTAAACCATCAACCTTTACCACCTAGGGGGAAAAGGGCAGTCATGCACAGGAGCACTACCACCTGCAAGTTTCCCTCCAAGAGGGAAAAACATGACCTCACCCTTACCAATCTGCTGGCTACAGACGCTTCTGTCCGTGACAGTATTAGTAAGAGTGACCACTGCACACTCCATTCACTCCACATGATCGAGAAAGGGTTGGAGACACTGGATGCTGCAAAGGCTACGAGCCCTGACAATATTCTGGCAATAATATTGAACACATGCTCCATAACATGCGGCTCCCATAGCCAAGCTGTTCCAAAACAATTACAACACTGGCATCTATCCGATAATGTTGAATATTGTCCAAGTATGTCTTGTACATACAAAGCAGGACAAATCCAACCCGACCAATTACCACCCCATCAGTCTCCTCTCGATCATTAGTAAAGTGATGGAAGGTGTCATCAACAGCGCTATCAAGCAGCACCTGCTCAGCAATAACCTGCTCAGAGACACCCAGCACATGACGTCATTACAGATTTGGTTCAAACATGGACAAAAGAGCTGAATTCCAGGAGTGAAGTGAGAGTGGCAGCCCTTGCCATCCAGGCTATATTCGACTGAGTGTGGCATCAAGGAGCCCTAGCGAAACTGGAATCAATGGATATCATAGGTGAAGCTGTCCACTGGTTGGAGTCATATCTGGCACATAGGAAGATGGTCATGATTGGTGGAGGTCAGTCATCTCAGCTCCAGGACATCTCTGCAGGGTACTGTCCCAACCATCTTCAGCTGCTTCATCGATGACCTTCTCTCCATCGTAAGGTCAGAAGTGGGGATGTCCACTGATGATTGCAAAATGTTCAGATACTGAAGCAGCCCATGTCAAATGCAACAAGATCTGGACAATATCCAGGCTTGAGCTGATAAGTGGCAAATAACATTCACACCACATAAATGCCAGGCATTGACCATCTCCAATAAGAAACAATCCAACCACCACCCTTTGCCATTCAATGGTGTTACCATCACTGAATACCCTACTATCAACACCCTCCAGTTTATCATTGACTAGCCACATAAACAGAGTGGCTGCAACAGCAGGTCAGAGACTAGGAATCCTGCAGCGAGTGACTCACTTCTGACTCCCCAAAACCTGTCCCCATTAACAAGGCACAAGTCAGGACTTGCTTAGATGGGTGCAGCTCCAACATCCAGGACAAAGCAGCCTGCTTGATTGGCACCACATCCACAGGGAACCACTCCCTCCACCATTGACCCTCAGTAGCAGCAGTGTGTAATATCTAAAAGGTGCACTGCAGAAATTCACCCAAGATCCTCAGACAGCACCTTCCAAGCCCACAACCATTTCCATCTAGAAGGACAAAGGCAACAGATACAAGTTCCGCTCCAAGCTGCTCACCATCCTGACTTGGAAATATATCTCCGTTCTTCAGCGTTGCTGGGTCAGACTCCTGGAATTCTCTCCCCAACAGCATCCTGGGTCAACCCACAGCAAATGGACTGCACAGGTTCAAGAAGGCAGTTCACCACCACCTTCTCAAAGTTAACCAGGGTGGTAATAAGTTTTGGCCAGCCAGCGATGCCCACATCCCACGAGTGAATTAAAAAATATCGCACATCATCCTTATAGGGAACAATATCACTGATCCTTCACTTTTGGCGGGTCAGTACTGAGGAAGTGCTGTGCTGTTGAGGGGTCAGTAATGCGGGAGCATTGCAGTGTTGGAGAGTCGGTACGAAGGAAGTTGCCCACAGCAGAGGACCAGTAGTTAGGAAGCAATCTATTGTCAGAAAATTAACGCTGACGGAGCAATGCATTATGGAGAGAGTTTCTAGAGGGAGTGCTGCACTGTCAGAGGGTTAGTTCAGAGGGAGTGCTGCACTGTCGGAGGATCAGTACAGAGAGAGTGCCACACTGTCAGGGGCTCAGTGCTGGGAGAGTGCTGCACTGTTGGAGAGTCAGTACTGAGGTAGTGCCACACTGTTGGAGGGTCAGTAATGAAGA